GCCACCCCATGCAGGTTGGCAAGCCTCTGCAGCTGGGATGAGGTCAGCAACTCCTGGCTGGTCAGTGGCAGTGGAGGGTCATCGACCACATCAGGGACCTCCTGGCACAGCTTCTGAGCAGGGAAAGGAGCACAGAGCCCTCGCCTAGCAGGCTTGTTTGCCCGCAGCAGCCCCCCACACACACCCTGTCCCCACTGCACACCTTAACCAGGTAGGACGTGGGCAGGAAGAGCCGGTTGGATATCAGGCAGAGGCGGGAGCCCAGGGCTAGCACCAGGTCCCCACTGTTGCTGCAGAAGGTCAGGGCCTGGGGAGCTCCATTTAGCTGCAGGAGCCTGGAGGGAGGGATGTCCCAGGCAAGAGTCCAGCCCTGCTCCAAAGAGCAGGAAACAGATGGAACAGGAGGGGCAAGTCCTCTCTCCCCTGTTCAGCCACTTGTCTCTGTAGAGGTAGGGGATCCCAACTGGCTGCCCCCAGGCTCCCAGCCTGGCCTTCCCTCCCTGCATCTTTCAGGGCCCCAGCCCACCGCAGCAGGCGGTTCTCTGCAGTCCAGATTCTGATGGTGCAGTCCAGGCTGGAGGAGGCGTACAGCTTGAGCGTGGGACAGCAGCACAGGCCTGGGGGCCAGGGCTCAGAGTCAAGAACCAGGACCATATGGTGGCTTGGGCTTCACCTTTGCCCTGACCTCTCACCAGTGATGTGGTCCATGTGGTCATCCTGGGGCCGGTGGTCATAGCGCTGGCTGTTGCCCAGGCCAAACTGCACCAGGCCATAGGTGACGCTGTCCGGGTCCTCAAAGGCCACCGTGACACACTTCCCAAGTGCACAGAGCAGTAGGGCAGGGTGGCCACAGGAGAAGGTCCGCAGCAGGCTCAGGCTCTCCTCAGCATAGGGGAAGACGCGCCACATCTTCACCGTCAAGTCTCCGCCTACTGGGCGGAGCCAGGGCTGGGCCTTTGGGTAGGAAAGGGGTTCCCGACTATGGAAGTGGGGGGTAGGAGGTACTGACCAGAGGACACGATGCTGTTCCAGGTCGATGCAATGGCAGTGATCGGGCCAGGGCAGTGCGCCTCTGTATGGAAGACAGTCTGCGATGTGTGCCAGCTGAGCACCGACAGTGTGCCATCCGTGTGTCCCACCACCGGCAGGTACCTACAGGCGACAACAGCCTGTTGGCGCAGGCCCTGTAGGCCCTCCCAGCCCTCACTGGCTCTGACAACTACCGGTTCTTGTCTTTCCAGGCTCGGATGTCGCTGCGGCACAGCTCGCCTTTGCGCTGGCGCACTGTCTCCCAGCTGGCAAATGCGCTGCTGGGGTCTGTGAGGTGACTGTAGAGGTGCAGGCAGCAGGGCCTGGGCGCTGGGGAGGGTGGCGGGCACACGCGGTACAGAACACGCATGGGGCAGCCTGCTGCGCTGGCACACACCAGGTGGCCAGCGCGCGTCAGCAGCCAGAGCAGCTCGCGCGGCAGGCAGTAGGCCACGGCGGCCGCGCGATCCCCGGGCTCCAGCAGCAGCGCGCTCACGGTGCACCCGGTGGCGGCGGACACCAGGTAGACCGAGCCGTCCGC